CCGCGGCGCACGGCCTGCTGCTTGGCTCCCCCCCGCGCGGCCTGGCCCTCAGCGACGGCGAGCGGCGGCTGGGCGAGCTCGGCATCCACTCGGGTGGGTCAGCGGGACACCCCCCCCTCCCTCTCTCTCGTCTTTCAAGCGGGGTCAAACGAGGGGTGCGTGGGGGAAGCTGCAGGCACACACGGGCTCAACGCCCATCATAGAGGGAACAGGAGAGCGGAAAAACACCGCCCGTCACGACCTGACTCACGCCACTCCCAGACCTGCTGGGTGTAAACAGACGCCATCTCGCGCGGTCGTTCGATCCAGACCCCCGCTTCGGGCAGGGAAGACATCGCGGACAATTCAATAACGAGCCCGACGGGGACGGTTGGTTTGAAACGCAGAGCATTGCGTTAAGTGTGAAACGAGCGCACGTCCCCGAGCGTGAGCTTGAATGAACTGTATCCGGTTTGGTCCCAAAGCTTCGGAGGTCCTCTTCCGCGTAAACAGTCGTTTATAACCAAGACTCGTTCGCTAACGGTTTTGTTTTTGGAAAAAACCGAAGGGCAGGGGATGTAGTAATCGCTTAGGTCAAACCGCCAATGTATCTGCGCTGAACGTTGTGGTGTTCGCAGTTCTCTTTTCTAGATATAACCTGCATGTTCCTTACGGGTGTTTTGATGCTTTGTTTTACAGGTGACACTCTAATAGTCGAAGAGGACACCACGAAACCCATGCCCGAGTCGCCCATAATTGCGAAAAGGAGCGCGCCGAATTTGGTCAGGGAAACGCTGCCTGTGCTTGCGAGGAGGGTCGTTCCAGCGGATAACTCCTGTCTCTTTACGAGCATATACTACGTGGTAGAAGGAGGCGTTTATGATCCAGCTTGTGCCCCGGAGATGCGCAGCCTTATAGCTCAGATAGTAGCGAGCGATCCAGAGTCCTATTGTGAGGCAGTCCTAGGGAAAACCAACCACGAGTACTGCGAGTGGATCAAAAGAGAAGACACGTGGGGAGGAGCCATTGAAGTATCCATTTTGTCTAAGTTTTATCAGTGTGAAATCTGCGTAGTGGACACGCAGACCGTCCGAATTGACCGTTTTGGGGAAGACGCGGGGTACCCGAAGCGGGTCCTTCTCATTTACGACGGCATTCACTATGACCCGCTGGAGCGCAAGTTGCCCAACTCAGACGTGCCTCCCCTGACCATTTTCTCAACAACTGATGATGTTGTCCTTGCACAAGCGTTGGAGCTAGCAGATGAAGCAAGGCAAAAGAGGCAGTTTACTGATGTGAATCGCTTTACCCTGAGGTGCATGGTGTGCCAGAAGGGGTTAACTGGACAAGCAGAAGCCAGAGACCACGCCAAGGAGACTGGGCACACCAATTTTGGAGAAGTGTGATACCTACATGAGGACAGTTGTGTCTACTACCTCACCAACCCAGAATAAGATTCTGGGTTTTCAGATAAGCTGTATGTAAACATAAAAATTCCGTTCGCAAAGCTTGAAAAGCCCTACTAACTTAATGGTGGCCAAGGCGCACAGGTCCATGCTGGTTGGCGTGCAAGTTTACAGATATGTGTGTGGTAGTGACTTCTCCCAGCTGGTTTGAAATAGATAATTTCTTGCATGCTGATTTGAAGTAAGCTGGCAGGTGTGTGGTGTATGCTGGTGGCTAGAATCCCTGACTTCTGAAAGAGCCTTATTCCTAAATCTTCCATGCAATGTGACCGGATTTACACCCGGAACAATAGTTGCCCATAGAATTAGTAACACTGGACTACAGTCTCTCAAATCCGACTTTCAAGATAGTTAAACTGGTTTTAAAATTTGGCAACTTCATGTGCGTATATATCTGTGCTACTTTCCCAAGAGTTTTATATAATAGCTCATACGCACGTAGGCAGCTCTTGCAGAAAGAGATGCCTGTTGGATGAGTAACTCCAAAGCTGCCCTTCCTTAGGACATAAATGACAGAAGTAGAATGTATAGTTTGAAGTCACGGTGGTAGTGAGAGGGGTGGCCTCTGAGCTTTAAGATAGACTTCTTAAAATTAATGAATAGACAGTTAAATACCCACAAACTTAATCCTTCATAAGTACCACTTGAAGTGTAGCTTTTAGTTGTTTGAAAACTAACTATCCTTCCCTTTGTGTTTACACTGCATCAGGATGTTGGCATGTTTTCTGAACTACTTGGATCTTTGTTAACAACATGATCTTAATTCCGGCAAGGAGTGACACTAGCTAAAATCTAGTTTTAACGCATTTAATAGATTTGAGTCTGGTATTCCTCAGACGTGGCCACAGAATACTGATAAACTATACCAGGCTCTAAATACTCATAAGTTAGCACTTTTTAATTTTTTGGTTCTCGTTCTTTTACAGATCAAATATCTTGTTTGAGAAGGACTGAGCATTTACCCAAAAGGGAAATAACTTGAAGTGTCTTTGGTGTCTGTATTCTACCAGATACCTCTTAACTTGCTTGAATTCCCACCAATGACTCTCTTCAGTAGCAAGACCTCAATTTTAATAAGGAATGGAGCCTTTTTAATTTTTAACAGTAAAATAAGCTAGGTAGAATGCTCAACTTCTGACCCTATTTAAAAAAAAATCAGGGATGTTTGAAATCACTATAACAAAGAAATTTTACCTCATACATGGATTGTGAGGCTTGAAGTGCATTGAGATTTTTCTAAATGGTGCTGTAGAGGTGCGTATTACTGAAAGTCGTCTTTTTTTTGTTAAAAGAATGCCTGTAACACACTTGTGTTAAAGCAATTAACAATATTCTGACCCCTGCTGGTTTTCTGTTACTGTTTTAAGATGCCTTCTGTGCAGTTTTATATGTGGGAGGCAAGGAGGTCCATCTTGAAAATGAAGTAGAAATGAGTCTGCTGTAGGGAATGGAAGTTTAAATTGCCTTCTGTGAAGAACCTCCCAGGTTCCTGTGAGAGGTCATATACAAAGCCCTGATGCAGCAAAGACTCCTTATTCCATAAAGCATGTGCTAAAATGATTCCCTGGTTTGAGACCTACTTGCGGAACTTCAAACAGAAGGGTAATCCTGTTGACACTAGTGGAACTATTAAAACACATTTAAGCATGTGCTTAAGTGCTTCATTGGATTGAGGCCTGAATAATTAAATCACTTAAGAGTATTATGGACCAGGATTCCTTTAACTCAGTATAAAAATAAAGTAATTATGGCACTGGCGTGAGTTTGCTATAGATATTAAGATAATGTCTGTTACGGCCCACATTGCTTTTAGAGACTTTTTAAACCTTTTTAAATGCTTGACTGAAAGCAAATGATTATGTATAGAAGCATAAATGACTGGGTCAAAGAAAGGAAGAATATGATGTGTACATCCTTGAAGATGAAACATGGCCTAGCAGTTAGACCAAGAAACTGTCAGTCTAACTCACATGATGCTAACTTTCATCCTGAATGGGTGCAAGACCTTGGACAAAATCACTACACCTCAGCCTCTCTTTACCCATCTGTAAAGTGGGTATGATGTCTACCTCACAGAGGTGTTTTGAGGCTAAACTGGTGTTTGTAAAGTCCTTGGATGAAAGGTGCTAGAGAAGTGCAAAGTAGCTATTTCTGATGTGCCATGTTTGCAAACCGGCTGTAGGCTTTTGGGAACATAACTCTTATCCTGCAAAATCAGTTCACTTTCTGGTATAGAATTTGCAAAACACAAGACTTAATGTATCTGCATACGTTTGCTAGGCAAATTAGATTTCAAAGCCTGTGTGTGGATTTCTGAAAGTGGATAGCAAGGCTAAGTGTTTTTATTTGCCCTGTTACAATTTTAAAAGCCTGTTTCACATATTTATTTTGCTATATCATGTTTGCATTAAGGTTCTACTACACTAGTAATGCCCACTGTCAGATTAATTGAGGGAGAGTAGTTGCACATGAAAGAAACTATATTTATTTGCCTAGAAAATTGCATTGTTTTGGATCTGAGATCCCAATAAACTGCTGTAATCGTTGTCCTGTTTAACAAAAGTCATTTGTTACAAAAACAAGTATTTAATGTAACTTTTCAAAGAGGAAAATAACCTGTGGAACTGAACTGAAGAAATTTAAGTAATCTGAACTCCCTGCCTGTCCCCAGGTAAAGAAGAAAAAAATCAGACTTTCTAGAAACTTAAATGTATAACTCTCATGTGAAAACCCAACTAAACTTATTTGTATTCCTTCTGGAAGAGCTCTGTAATTGTGTTAGCTTTGTCATGTCTGATTTATCACTAGCACTTATGTGCCCTTTGTTAACAATAGAGACATGGTAATCTTGCACACGACTGCTTTCCTTGCTCTCGGTGGGAAGAACCTGTATCTGTGAGTAGCTGTATTAATACATTTTGCACTGAAGCATGTCCTGTAGCTGCAAGACACTAGTTACTGATATTTTGTTCAACATTTATTTGTCTGGTACATAGTTGAGACTTAAGCTCAGGTAACTGGCATTAAAACAAAGTCTGTCACCTGTGCAGAGTGATCCAAAAAAATACTGTTAGACATGGACTGATGTTCTTACTGCTCCCCTGCTTCCTTTCCCCACCCCCCCAATAAAAATGCAATTAGCACTACTTTCTTTGCTGAATATTTCAGCAGAGGGGCCAGGGATAGAATGGACCATGGAGACTGAACTTGCTTCTCCCAGCAATGAACTCCTTAGTTAAAGGTTGAGGCGTATAAGTATCACTTCTTTGATTCACTATAGGACTTCAGTTTCCAAGGCTGCCAGTCTGGCCCCTTTCACCAGCACTAAATTCTTTTTCCTAGAAAAAGGAGCTTAACATACTCTAATCATGTGGCCTTTCACAAACATTTTATATTGTATGAAGAGATGCACATCTCGTGATTTTAATGGCACTTTAAAAGCTTGTCAAAGTTTACATGTTTAGCAGGGACCTACACTGATGTAAGCATTATTTGTTTCTGTTACAGTGAAATGACTGATGTTAGCAAACAGTTTCTAAAACCTTAGTATTTACCAACGTATTCCAGTGGTATGACATCCTGTTGTTGTGTATCATTAGCACCAGTTATTTTTGGAGAATATATTTCGTTAAACATGTGCCCCTGAATTGCAAAAATTGTGACTGCACCAATAAATGTGACTGCATGCACACTTTTCTCAGTATAATGTTCATTTGTGGCCTGGGGCTTGGGTATACTTGGGTATAGTGCAGGGTGAATCTCTCCAAATCCCTGGTTCATCACGCTTCAGTAGTTCTGTAGATAAAATGCATGTGTAATAATGCAGTGAATGTTTCCTATGAAATTGGTTGACAAGTCACTTGAGTGTATAGACTGAGGATTACTTTTGGAACACGAGTTAAAGTAGCATGTACCTGAATGGCACGGCACAACATAAAATAGTTGCCTGTGAGCAGGTTAGGTTACGGTTCAAAAGTGCATTTCAACTTCTGAAACTTGTCTTAGAGAAAACAGTATTTTTGCACATTGGAAAATGCCTCTATTGCAGCAAGAAGCACTTTACCTATGAAGCTTGGCTTTGACTAGCGACGGGTTTATTTTATGAAATGGAACAGTTATTTTTTTTTTTTTAGTCTTCCTCTTACAGGCCTCCACTTTTACCTTGAGATCCTCCTCTTGTAACTCACTGCCCTTGAAGACATGAACGTTTCTGGGATAAGCCTTGCCTGATTTGTAGAGGCAAAGCCCTCACTACTGCCTAAATTAAGTAGACAGGTCAGGTTCTTTGAGTAGGTATCTTTCGTTAGACCAACTGAGTAAATTTAAGTAGAAACCTCCCTGAGTTCTTTTCTCAGCTCCCAAAGACACAACCACAACCAGAGCTTGCCTTTATGCTGCAAAGCTTTTATTCAGTTATTTGCTACCTAAAAATAAGTGATGACCAGACAGAGGCCAATCTACACCATGTCTGAAGCCTGCACTGCATTGGCATTCACCAAGAACAGCGCATTCCTTTTTGTAAATATGCATGACTAAGTAAGTAATGCTGTGTACGTAGACTTGATAGGGGGATGACAAGAAATTAAGAAAGTGTTTCAAACTACCTCTGTTTTCTTCACAAGTTCATTCAGTTGCTTGAGGTAAAAAAAACAAAATAAAAAAAGTGATTTGGCCTCCATTGAATAAAACAGGCTGAAATGCCAAAGTAGCTGTTTATTTGGCATCTCTCAGTGCCTGGTGGTTAGCACTAGAGGGTGCTCCTGTTATAAAGAGAAAAGGGAAACTGAGCTAATAATGGTCAAGTAAGCTAGTAATTGTGCTAATTAAAGATTATCCGATTTACAAGAACCTTGTAAGCTAATATTTGCTCTCCATACCTTTATTAGGGAGATAATGCAACCTTGCAATTTTTTGCCCCAGTTCAGGAGAGAAGGGGAAGATGCTCTGGGCTTTCCTGTGGTTTTACAAACGCCTCCTCTCTTTCCTCCAGGAAGAGTTGCTTGGCTCAGAGTTGTCCAGGTGCTGTAAGAAAAAAACGTTAACTAATGTTCTGGTGCACTTTTGATATACTAAAAAGACAGCAAAATGGGGCAGGGGTTGAAAAGCAATAACAATGGCTATAAAACAGCTACCCACAGTTTGGTGTTGTTTAATGGCTATCCATGGACCTGTCCTCTATGAATTTGTCTAATACCCTTGGTTGATCCGAAGAGGAGTAGGTTAGAGAATAGATGACACTACACCTGCCTTGTACACAAACTCTTCCTCTGAAGCATAGTCTACTGCTACAGTTGGAAGCAGGCAAGGCAGACCATTTGTCTAGCCCACTATGGCTCTGCTCATCTTGGTATTCTGCTGTATTTTGGCAGCAAGGATACTTTTGCCTACGCAGTTGATTGATGACATCCTGAGCAATTGGCTTCCCACCAGAACAGCTGGAGCTTACTCTTTCTAGCAGAGCTGTGATCCAACTAATTGAAAAAAATGCTGTTTTTCAAAGGGGTTAGTTGTAGCTGTGTTGGTCTAAGCACATAGGCATGCACAGTTCTTTGAACAGATGCAATATCTTTTATTAGACCAACTGAGTAGTTGGAAAAAAGTTCTTTGCAAGCTTTTGGGCACTTTTTTCCCCTTGTGTCACTGCTACTTGTCCCCCGGGGGACACCTGTGCCACATGTGCTCTGGTGTGCCACAGGTTACCCTGAGTGGGGTGGGGAAGGTTGGGGCCAGCAACTGTGCAGCCTTTGGGGCCTCCCGGGGCTGCAGCCACAGCAGGAAACCTGACTGACAGCCGGTGCGTGGCTCTGGCAGGTCAGTCTCCAGTTTTGGGTGCCGCCGCTGCTTGCACCACCCTGCTTTTTTTGGCATGGGTTTTTTTGACCTACACTTCCGCACTCATCTGGATGCAGCCCTGGACTGCATGGCATACAACTGCAGTGGGGGTTGAGAACGCTGCTTGCTGGACCAAGCCCTACCACATTACTTAAAGTGAATGATTTCAGTCAAACTGCTAATAAACCTATGTCTTACAATGCTGCTGACACTACAGTGTCATTAAATCATAAAGCAATATAGGGGATGAGAACGGGAAGTGCACTTAAAACCTGCACTTGGAAGTCTACTCAAATTCTCACCTGTGACCTAAATGCTGTTTCTGTGCTCTTGGGTAATCACTTGCTTTCTCTGCCTGCCTTCTGTGAAATCAGCGGATAGGTCCACTTACCTACTTTACAGCCATATTATGGTTTAATTAACGTTGGAGGATACCATATAAATACCAGCTATAAGTGAGCATTTTGCATAATTGATTTGTCATTAGCGGAACTGAACTGTGCATAGAAACTGGATCGAAGGCGGCAGAGCTACAACAAAACTGCTCTAGACGCAAGAGAAGAATCCAGCCTCGTGGGAATACCTCATCTCCAGTGACATATAAGCTTCCTTCCCACAGTGCTTGTTGTGAACAAATTGCATTCTTATGTTTATAAAAAAGGTGGGGCGCAATGCGCTACCTAAGGTGGCAAAGTCCTCTTGTGGTAACGCAGGGATGTTTGCCTGCATCATTCAACCCAACTACCATGTTTCATACCGTATATATGAAATCATGCAGCACTTCAGCATGCCCCTGCTTTTACTTTTTGGAGGCAGACCCATATGGGGGAGGGAGGGAAAAAACAACATAGTTTCTGTCGAGGCCAATAACACACAGGGTGCTTAGGCCACCGCCGCTTTGTGGAGCTGGACCCCCAGGGTGTGGCCCTAAGTCCTGAGACTTTAATGCCAGTTTTAGCCCATTGCAGATCTGGTCCCAAAGGAAGGCATGCTGTGATGCATTTACTTTGCATAGACCTGCAGGTGTTAAGCTCCGGGGGTCCTATTTTCAAGTCTAGAACTATTCTGAGCTCTTGCGCTATCTGCATCTCTGTAGGAAAACAGATGGCTCAAAATAATCTGCCATGTTCTGCTTGCACTAGTAATAGGTAAATACATTTTTTTAATCTCTTCATGGGCCAGTTGAAATACGAGAGAGACAGGAGAACCAGGAAGCAGCTTGCCCAAGTGCTTCTCTCCCAAAAGGAATGCATTTCAATCAGGGGAGCTACACATCTGACTGTTTTGCAGAGGAGTCTGTTGAGTGTTTAAAATAGAAAGGTCACATTTTTCATTTCAAAAGTAATGCACATGAAGCAGGCAGATGCTTACACATTCAGAGAGGTCAGTGTGCCTTTTCCCAATGGGTTACCTTGTTAATGATTAAATAAGTGGAATGTGAAGTATGTGGAAAACCTGTGTATTTTGTGTTATTACCAGGTCAGTCTCCAGTTTTGGGTGCCGCCGCTGCTTGCACCACCCTGCTTTTTTTGGCATGGGTTTTTTTGACCTACACTTCCGCACTCATCTGGATGCAGCCCTGGACTGCATGGCATACAACTGCAGTGGGGGTTGAGAACGCTGCTTGCTGGACCAAGCCCTACCACATTACTTAAAGTGAATGATTTCAGTCAAACTGCTAATAAACCTATGTCTTACAATGCTGCTGACACTACAGTGTCATTAAATCATAAAGCAATATAGGGGATGAGAACGGGAAGTGCACTTAAAACCTGCACTTGGAAGTCTACTCAAATTCTCACCTGTGACCTAAATGCTGTTTCTGTGCTCTTGGGTAATCACTTGCTTTCTCTGCCTGCCTTCTGTGAAATCAGCGGATAGGTCCACTTACCTACTTTACAGCCATATTATGGTTTAATTAACGTTGGAGGATACCATATAAATACCAGCTATAAGTGAGCATTTTGCATAATTGATTTGTCATTAGCGGAACTGAACTGTGCATAGAAACTGGATCGAAGGCGGCAGAGCTACAACAAAACTGCTCTAGACGCAAGAGAAGAATCCAGCCTCGTGGGAATACCTCATCTCCAGTGACATATAAGCTTCCTTCCCACAGTGCTTGTTGTGAACAAATTGCATTCTTATGTTTATAAAAAAGGTGGGGCGCAATGCGCTACCTAAGGTGGCAAAGTCCTCTTGTGGTAACGCAGGGATGTTTGCCTGCATCATTCAACCCAACTACCATGTTTCATACCGTATATATGAAATCATGCAGCACTTCAGCATGCCCCTGCTTTTACTTTTTGGAGGCAGACCCATATGGGGGAGGGAGGGAAAAAACAACATAGTTTCTGTCGAGGCCAATAACACACAGGGTGCTTAGGCCACCGCCGCTTTGTGGAGCTGGACCCCCAGGGTGTGGCCCTAAGTCCTGAGACTTTAATGCCAGTTTTAGCCCATTGCAGATCTGGTCCCAAAGGAAGGCATGCTGTGATGCATTTACTTTGCATAGACCTGCAGGTGTTAAGCTCCGGGGGTCCTATTTTCAAGTCTAGAACTATTCTGAGCTCTTGCGCTATCTGCATCTCTGTAGGAAAACAGATGGCTCAAAATAATCTGCCATGTTCTGCTTGCACTAGTAATAGGTAAATACATTTTTTTAATCTCTTCATGGGCCAGTTGAAATACGAGAGAGACAGGAGAACCAGGAAGCAGCTTGCCCAAGTGCTTCTCTCCCAAAAGGAATGCATTTCAATCAGGGGAGCTACACATCTGACTGTTTTGCAGAGGAGTCTGTTGAGTGTTTAAAATAGAAAGGTCACATTTTTCATTTCAAAAGTAATGCACATGAAGCAGGCAGATGCTTACACATTCAGAGAGGTCAGTGTGCCTTTTCCCAATGGGTTACCTTGTTAATGATTAAATAAGTGGAATGTGAAGTATGTGGAAAACCTGTGTATTTTGTGTTATTACTGCAGGTTGGTGATACTGTGGTGCGAGGGAGGTGGCTAGCAAATATGAACACATGGGAATAACTACTTACCCCCCCTTTCTCATTTGCTCACAGGGTAAAAATGCTGAGCTGTTCTAGTGTAACATCTTAACTTTAATTTTGGCAAAAATAAGGCGATTATTTTCATGAAGGTAAAATACAATGGAAAAAAAAACAGGTTTAAGTGTTATTCATAGTGGCAGCCGTCTATTGTGATCTGATTTTTTCAAGACTGTTTCAAAGAGCTTGAACCTCCAAGGAAGGACAGAACTAAAACAGCAAACAAACCAAGGCTAGAAGCCTGCTCCTGTCCTTTTTTTAAGTCATTCACAATGTTGCAGTTGAAACTTAACATTTCAGTGGAAGTCTCATGCGCCTAAAATCAGTCTCATGAACCACAATTCGCCCTTTTTGCAGGAGCGGTTGATTCATAGACGTTAGAGGCTGGAAGGGACCTCGCAGATCATCGGGTCCAGCCCCCCCGCTCTAGGCAGGAAGACAACTGGGGTTAGGTGACTCCAGCGAGGTGACTGTCCAGTCTCCTCTTGAAAACCTCCAGGGTAGGTGACTGCACCATCTCTGGAGGGGGTTTATTCCACAGTCTGGACACCCTGAGTGTGAAGGAGTTTTTCCTGATATTAAGCCTGAAGCGGCCTTCCAGGAGTTTATATCCATTGGTCCTGGTCTTCCCCAGGGGTGCCCTAGTAAACAGTTGTTCACCGAGCTCCTGATGCACTCCTCTGATGTAGCGCTAAGCACTATCAAGTCCCCTCCCAACCTTCTCCTCTTTAGGCTAAGGAGACCCAGGTCCCTCAGCCTTTCCTCGTATGGCTTGCCTTACAAGTCCCTGATCATACGGGTGGCTCTTCTCTGGTCTCTCTCAAGTTTTTCCACATCCTTATTGAACTGATATTGAACAACGTGGCACTGGTTGGACCACACAGCCCCAGACAATGAGAAGCCTGACTGCACAGAGCTTAGATTTGTAGCCGCTTTGGATCCCATAAAGCAAGCTGAAGCCCAGTTGCATAGCTGGGAGCTAGAGATATCCAATACTTCAAAGAAATGCCTAGGTCTGAAAGCAGAAGCTTCTTGTTTATCTGCCTGGGGGGAGGACAGACTGCGGAGATGCCACTCGTTTCTGGAAGTGAAAATGCTGCCGTAAGATTTGCTTTATCAGCAGCTTCAGATAAGCCCCTTTGGGAGGTGGGAAGAAGGGAGAGACAGTTAAGTCTCTCCATTCTTTCCACCGTCCAAAAGGGCTTATATCTGAAGCTGCTGCAGCTGTAAGACTAATTTGTGAGTTGAAGAGATTCATGCCTAAAATGCTACTCAGTTATTTATGGGGCAGGGGCAAGTTTCCTCCGCTTCATCAGTGAGGGGGATCATAAACAGCCCAGAAGCAAGAAGGCAAGCTGCAAGACCCCATACCTGCATTGACAATAAATCTAGGAACTGTAGAGAGGAGTAGGACATCTCTAGAGATGCTCCAGTCTGGAAAGTACTAGCGATAAATGTGGGCAGCAAGTGAAACGAGTCTGCCCCTATTTTCTTAGCCAAGAAGAATCAGCCTATTGAAACATCTCATTAAGCTAAGCTTCAAGGGTTAAGCAGTGAACCCAGTTAAAATAATAAATCTGCTGTGAACTCCTGCTCAAGGCTGCTCTGCAAACACCTATTAGAAGGAGAAACTCTGATGTACAGAGGTGTTTTTGTCAAAGCTACAGTTGGACTCCCACGTACGTCACGAACTATGCAGAAGAGCAAGATGCCTGGTTAAGGAGTCTCCTACAAAATGTATGCAAAGGGCTTAAGACAACCAGGAAATCAGAGCGAGAGTTAGCAGCAATGAATGCATTGCTCAGTGTCACATGTGCAGCAGCTTGGCAGTTTCTTAATGAGAACAGATCTCATTAAGGACACTCTAGTAGCCATCAGGCTCAGTCTGACTGGGCAGGTCATTTGGCCACTCGATACCTTAGCTTCCCTGGCTATAAAGGTGGGGTGGATGCACCTTGCTCCAAATCATGACTGTTCCAAAAGCACACGGCCTCAAGTGGAAGCTGGAACAGGCTAGCATTATAAACCACTCTGGACCCCACCCTCTTCAGGCCCAGGCAGAAGGCTTGTTGGTAGGATGGGCAAAAATAGAGAATTTGCACAGCTGTTCCATTCTGCAGCTTCAGCAACCAGAACGCAGCAGCTGGCATGAAACAACTGGGGGCTTTTAAAACAGAAAGAGGAAGGGCGAATGGTTCGCTCAGGAGCTCGATTTGCAAAATGAATATAACTGCCTTATTGCTATTACTGGAGCACGAAGAGCTCACCCCTGGCTCCTTAGCAGAGCTAAGCAATTTTTGTTACATATTTCAATCTTGTCCACCAACATGCACCACACCCTCTACTCCCACTGGTTTCCGTAGACTAGGCCAGAGAGCTTTGGTTGGTGTAGAAATCCTTGATCCCTCCCTCCCTAGCCCTCCTCCCTATTGCTGAGAACAGCTGGAATGAGAAGAGGGCAGCAGAGCTTGTGATTGGCTGGGAGTCAGCCACAGGAGGGGTGAGGCAGTTACCTGTCCAGGTAAGTCAGGGAGAGGTCATAGAGAGAACAGAACAGGCGGCGTTTTGTGCTTAGCACTATAGTCCCTTGTCTGGGGAAGCAGAGAGCCTTTTAGCCCTTTGATCCTTATCTCTCTGCTAGAGAAGGTGAGTTAATTTCTAACCATGCTGTATTTGTTTAGCTTCAAAGTAAAGAGATTTGGGGGATAGATACCACCAGGGTTTGGAGTTCTGTAAAGAGCCCCAGGCTTTCTCCCTGCCTCTCAAATACCAGTTTTGCTGAAACCTGCTAGTTCCTCTGGAGCTGCAGAAGAGAGGATATCCTGCCAGGTAAATTGCATTTTAATCTTTTATTTGCTAACTGATTCTTTAATAATGCCGAGCAATAGTTGCCTTGGAGAGCAGGACACTATTGCATGTTTAAAAGCCTCCAACGCCTGAGGAACTCTGGTTTGTCTGGAGAAGGGGAGGTGAAACGGAGCTAAAATTCACATGGGTGAAATCTTGGCCTTTCTGAGCTTCGTGACAGACCTGTCACTTGACTCTAATGAAGCTAGGGTTACCTATTTGAGTTTTGGCTTGCCCATGCAAGTAGCTAAAAAGCTTTCATGATCAATGGGGTGGGGGGAATCATGCCAACCGTGCTGGCAGTGTTTTTCATAAAGCTTCAAGCCGGGGTGAACGGAGAAGGAAAATTCCTTGTTGTGAATTGGGTCTCATTCTTTTCACCAAAAGAAAGTCATGTCTGTAGGTCTTCTCTCCTCTTCTTCAGGTTTGATGCCTAGTGGTAGATGCAGGTGCAGTTCTAGCTCCTGGGCAGTTTTTTAGCTGGATTTGTGGTGTGCTTATGGAAGCCCCTAGCGGATCGGGATCGTGCCATTTGCACTCATGAGAGATGCGTGCGGTATACCTGCTTTGCTTTCGTTAGAAAGAAAATTCCTAAAATTACCCAAATAGCTGGGGTAAAAAAAGAGGAACACTAGTTCCAGGTAACCTCTGGATATTGAGCAAGGAAGGCAGCTGTTGTCCAGTGAGATATTGGGCAGGGCTTTGATACAGGAGGACAGTCACATGGATGATACAGCTGGACTGAAATGTCGCTGAACAAGTTTGTGTATAGTGAAAAACGAACATTTGTTGAAATACTTTTCTTTTTTTCATGGGCTTCTAAATAAAAATGGTTATGGACACAGTTTGCTGGCTACTGATTTTGGTAAACGTGGGAAACTCGATAACAGTGTCAACCCTTACCAAGCAAGAATCTTCAGAGTTTATTTGTTGCTGTTTGATCAGATCTGATGGATTAGGAATAAGTGGAGAGAAAAACAGGAAATGTTTATTTGAGGAGTTTTTTGTGTTTGCAATGGCTTTTGCACTCCAGTGCTGGCCTGACATTTGGGAGGCTTTTCTTCCCAAACTTGTTGTGGAGAATAAGAGGAACTGTGCACTAAACATGAGACCCATCATCTTCACAAACAGGCGGATGTACTTGATGGGTGTAGCTGGTCACATGGCATTGTTTCTGTTTTCTGTATGACAAACTTATGGAAAAAGGAAGCTGGCTTGAGCTAGCTACTTCGTGTTTCAGGCATTGTCCAGGTCCAAGCAAGACTCTCACTTCCCACAGACATCAATCAACTCTGCCAAATGTTTGTGGGAAGGTAGAAATCCCTGGGCAGGCTGCAGAGACCACTGCTGCAGAGTCCTGGGGGCTTCAGTTAAATAAATATGAGCAAGTGACTTCTTGCAATGTTAGTCCTGCTCAAAAGTAGCCTACTTAATCCTTCTTGGGGACATCCCGAAGTCACTCCTCTCTGAGACCGAAGACCTGCAATGCTCAACCTTGCCCTTGCCTGCTGAAGTACTGCTGTGGACCACAAGGTAACCTGCAATCAAGGATGCAAGGTTATTGCTTTTATTTGATAGTGCTAGTTTAAGATTAGAAGTTCAATTGAACTATGTATGCACTAGGGGATCAGAGGTGCTGGATGCGTCTTGAAACTGTTTCTCTTTTCTGGAAATCCTTTAATTTAAAAGGGGAGAGGGATTTCTCCCCCCCCCTTTTTTTTTTTTTTTAACAGCCTAACTCCTTAATGGCTTCTTTGGAGATGATAAACCAGTTTTGTTCATCTGTGACTAGATGCAGCATTTGGAGGCTGTTGCCAAAAGGTAGCAGTGGCAGTGCTGAAAGCCTCACCAGGCTATATGGCAACAGGCTGCTTTGGTTTTCCTGCTGGGGGGCAATGCTGGCTTCATATCTGTGACCCAGGCCTTCTGTCCTCCTCTCGGGATGGACTCATGAAGTGCTGCGGAAAACAGATACTTATCAAGGTTCTTTGTAAACGGACTGAGCAAACCGAGTGAATCAGTTTTATAACCTCTCAGATCTTATGTCTGTAAATAACTGTCCCCACTGAACATTTGTCCTCTGTTAAACTTGGAGGAGTTAGTCATGCACCCTAACTGCTTGGCAGCACAGTTCAGGGTTAAGCTTATAAAAGGCTATCTGTGTGCGTGTGTGAGTGCTATACTTCAAATTTCCTATCTTCCCTAATGCTTTCATGACATCTAGGACTTTCATAAAGCTGTTGCATGAAAACTGCATGTGCCAGGTTGGCTAAAAGCAATAGTATATGTCAGCAAATTCAGACAGAGGAGATATTTTTTTTTTATTTTTTTTTTTTTACAATGCCTGAGGAGGTAGAAATCTTTCAGGAGCTAGCTGATAATACATGTATGTTTTGCTGAGCTGTGCTCTTGCTCCTAGCCTTGTGCGTGTGTTTCAAGGTGCATTCAAGCACTGGCTGGTATTAAAGGGAAAAAGTTAGGATACCGAAAACTGCAGCCTTGAGAAATGGAGGCGGGCCTCATTCAGGTAGCGCTTTCTGGCTGCTCCTAGGACTGAAGATGCAGCATCTCTGCAGATACCATTTTGCCAGAATCATGAGCCTGAAGGGCACTGGGCACAGTATTCACAAGCTAGAAAACACTTTTTAAAAAATTTTACACTGACTATATGGGCTTCCTACTGAGCCGGGTCTGAATCTGAACAGTGGTTGCTCAGGCTGGGAGGGGATTGTGTTCCTCAGCTCCTGGACTGCTTTTTAAAAGGTGACAAAGCTAAGGGAGAGTCAGGAATATGCAGTATTATGGCAGTCTGCCCGCAGGGACCCTAACTGCCCGGCCTAGCAGCTGGAACAGGGGAGAAAGTGGCTTGCATTTTCAGCTCTGCCATTGAATCACGTTGTCTTTGAACAAGTTGCATAACCTCTGTTCCTGCATCTAAAAAGGGAGTCTGTAATACGCTCCGCCCTCTGCAGAGTGCTCCAGATCCTGAGACGAAAGATAATTTAGTGAAAAGCCCTCTGGCTTCCCTGTATATTTGGGCCGCCGCTGACCCAGGGAAAAGGTGCATTGGCATAGATCTGAACGCTTAAGCACCTGTGAAATGTTGTAGCAGAAGGCATACTACAACCAGCCAACAAGTCTCAGCAAATGAGTTACTGGAGAGTCTGTCATGGCCTGTGAGTCTGGATTTACAGGGAGCAAGACCCTCTGACATAACTGGCACATGCATTTCTCAACCAACAAGGCAGAACTTCTCAGAGGTGTTGTGCTTTATACCAGCTACAGCATGTGCCGTGAATGCACACCCACATTTGTGACTTAGCCATAGGGTGAGGTGCTTGATTACCTCTCGACAAACTTTAGTCATTGCCGTGTTGTTATTGGTGACCTGGCTGGAGAACTTTAGCTCAGCCTGCTCAGGTGAGCACTTCTGAGCTCCCTGGCCGGGTTTCTTCAGCCTCGAGTGCAGCGGGCGCTAGGAATTCTGCGTCCCGGACAATCGCTGTCAGTGAGGGATGCACTTGGGCTCCAACTTCAAATGGAGACAAGGACAAAGCATTCAGCAAAACTTTTATGAAACTGCTTCAACCCAGCCTGTAGACAGAACGGGTCTGATTAAAGAACTAAATGCTGCATTGGGGGTATTTTTGTGTCTCTTTCTCATCGCTCATTAACCAGCCTGTTCATGTCAGAGAGACTGTCGGTGGATGACAGCTTTACAGCTACTAAAGCAGATTGGATTGTTCACGGTGCCCTAAAGCATACCCCGTTATTGATGCTCTGCACTGTAGGGTTTTCCAGGTGAATCCCTTGTAGGCATATGTGTGCACATGTCTAAAATCCACCACTTTGGCTGCTGAGCAGTTTTGGAGAATGGCACATGTCCGCACCTAACAATTTAGCAATCCTGATTGCTTTCTTCCCATTGGCTCTAGCGTGGTTCTAAACTGAATGAATGCAACTCTTGACACTGCTTTCTCTTTCCCCAGTTTGACCTGGAAGCTCTCACCCTGGTGATTTGTGCTATGCCTAAGGAAGAGTTGTGGCTAGGGATGGCTGGCCAAGATTCTGGCAGCTGTGACAGCATGGGCAGCACTACTTCCAACCACTCTGGATTTGTAAGTAACTTTCAAATAACCTTCACTTGATTTGCTACTGGTTTTGAGCTGCAGATTCAGTCGCCAGGGACGCTATAAGCCTCTGAAGAGAGAGTCTCGGTTGGCACAAAGGACTGTGTTCTACTTCAGATCAACACTTACTGTGACAGCAGGTGGAAGCCTCAGTCCCAGACAAGGGTCTGCTGCGTTAGGAGCTGAACTAGCAAAACGCATTGCTTCCCCAAGGAGCTGTAGGTCCTGCCCGCTTCCAGCAATCAAAGCCTGGTGCAGTTCAAACACTGGAGGTCACTTACGTGGAGTCAAGGGCAGGGGCGTAGTTGGATCATGAGCCTCTGGGCTGGTTCTAAAGCACTTCCACTGCCACCGCTCTCCTCCATAAGGTCCACATGCAATTGGGCTTCCCAGGGACACAAGGCAAGGTTAAGTCTGGCGGATTACATCACCTGTGAAGAACCAAGCCAGTTGGCAGTGGAGTGCTAATATGGCACACACCTACTAGACTAACAAAGGCAACTCTTTCTGAAACGGCCATTAAACCATGCTCATCCCTAACTTACCACACCATAATTAAGCCAGGAATTAATTGGGCCCATGATGCAAATGCATACTATTTCTCAGTCTGTCCATTCATACCTGTTTGTATCAACCATGTCAGGCTTGGGAAGATTAATTACATCCTGTCTGATTTGGAGTATAATTGAGGTGTACTAATTGCAACTCTCAGTTGGTCCTCCCTGCCTTCTCTTATACATCAGCAACAGATCCGTGTGTAATTACCAGGGATGGGCCAGCTGGTTACTGTATTACCTGGTGGAGGACTTCACACAGAAGATGGGGGTGTATGTGGTCCAGTAAAGATCAAGTTGAATCTTGCAAAAGCACTTGAAAAGCAGGAGACAACTGGGAGAAGCAGCACCATCAACAAACGAGCTGCTGAATAGCTGGGTGCTTTGACAAGCTTTCCAGATCTGGCAAATCTGATCCATACAGGTGTGGTTGGCCTGCGATATGACTAGCTGGCAATGCACATTATAGATCTATCAGTGCTTCAAAGGAAAACCAGGAAACATCGTTGATGGCCAAATTGTATAGGTAAATTAGGAATGGTAACTATTCAGTGCTATATGATCATGATGCCCAGAAGTGATATGTCTGCACTTTGCTTCTAAGAGCGACTGGCTGGGTTTTCACTAGCTGTTGGTGCTGATTTCTGAGTATTCAACCGTTTGGTTCCAAGGATGAGAACTGGGAGCAGAGAGTCCTGTTTTGCTACGTGTCTGCTTTAAACTCCAAGTGATTCTGTTAAATAGTGTGATGCCTTGCACATCTCCCATATGTCGGTGTCTCCTTTTTATTTTCTAGAGCAATAACAATTATGACTATTTATCTGTGGAGGAAAAGGAATGTTTGATGTTCCTAGAAGAAACCATTGATTCTCTGGACGCAGAAGCAGACAGTGGGGTCTCTACTGATGAGACTGACTATGCTCGGCCTTCAAAGGCGTGGTCTAAGAGAGAGGTTATTCCAAAGGGTAAGGCTGAGCTTGCATTTAGGTCCTCGGACAGCTCCCTGCTTTATCTGCCAGAGGGCTTGTATTTTAAGACTCATTCCTGGCCAGAGTTAATGTTAGCAGGAGGGCAAGTAGCATTGCATCGGCTTTCCTCATTCATAAGTGAGAACCTGGTATTGGCCAACTGAAGTCTGCTGGGGATAGGGGAGGGGATGAGATGAGAGGCTTGTGTGGGTCAGTACTCAGCATTAGACTCTTGATTTCTTTTTTTTTTCCCCGTGGTAAAGTAAATTGCTCTTCAGGACAACTTCAGAGCAAAACAGCTTTTCTTTTGCTTCTTGCACACATGAATATTGTTGTAATTAAGTCTGTTTCTTGTCAGCTGCAAGCATTCCCCTTGCACCCTGTCGGCATGGGGAGGGTGGACCATCAACCTGTCAACTGGGGAGTGGGTATTGCTAGACTATATGTAAAACAGCAGGGTGCCTCTGCCCTGCTCCCCTTACTTATGGCTACCTTTTCTTCTAGGTCCAGACAATAGGATTCGCAGTGAAAGTCTTGCTCAGTGGCATGCAGTTGAGCAAAAGGGTGACCCAAGTGTGTCTGCTCTCTCAAGATCTGCTCCAGCACTGGTTTCCAGCTCAGGCTGTTGCAACCTCCCAAGGGGTGCCGGTGTAGCGAGTGCACACACAAACAAGGCTTCTGTCTGCAAAGCCACTGACCTCAGGCTGGAGGGTCCAACGCCGACAGCTCAGGAAACGGGGAAGTCGTCTTGGACATCTCCCAAGAAAGAAGGGATAAAGGACATGTCCAGTGACCGGCCCAACTGGAGTATCAAGATGAAGCCACTGGAGTCCATCATTATACAACCCCCTGAACCTTTCCAGGACCCTGTAACAATAAACAACCAGCAAATAGCTAGCAAGGGATCTGGTAACAGCAGCAAAGATCGGTTCTGTGAGTCTGAGGCCAAGACGGAATATGGGGAGGCCGACAGGAATCGGCCTCGGGCTGTACCTCAGCGTCCTGCCCCGGAAGAGGCAGAGTTGCCGCAGAAAGAAGTAGCTATTCCAAACCCAGTGGCACCTAAGCATTGTGAGATGGGTCTGCAAAGAGACACTATCCCTCCAGGCAGCCCAGACAATTCAGCAACAGAAGAGGCTGCCCTGGATTCAGACCTCAAGCGTGGGCCTCCCACGGCCCCCAAACCAAGGAAACTGCCCCCAAATATTATCCTTAAAACCAGCAAAAACAATCCAGTGCCCCTCATCATAGACCCCAGCCACAGGATAAAAGCACCTTCTCAACCACCAGCCAGCCACAAACCCAGCACTGCCGCAGCCAGCGACACCTCGGGGCATCTTGACCCTAAAGAACAGGAGAGAGCCAGGCGGGAGGCTTTGGAGAAGCTGGGACTGCCACAGGATAAAGGAAGGGCACCTGATGCCCATGTTAAACCTGCCACTTCTCCCAAACCAAAGGAGGCCTCTTTCTTCATTCCTAGGGCAGCTGATAGAGATGACATAGCCAGCAATAAAGAAGTCAACTTCATTGCTAACAAGAGCCAACCCCATGACCCAAGCTTCAGCGGACCAGAGAAGGTTGCTCCAGGCCTGAGGCAGATGCACTTCAAATCCAACACCTTGGAGCGCTCTGGCGTGGGTCTGAGCAGCTACATCTCCAGCAGCAAGGACCAAAATGTTAAGAACAGCAGCTCGCTGGGCAAAACGTCCTTTATTGACAAGATCACGCCCAGCTTTCTCAAAAACAGCCGCCCACGCCCGGCTTCGCTGGGCATGGGGAAAGACTTTGGCCACCTCCAGGAGCACCAAGTCGGCAAGGCGGAGCTGTCAAAAAGCGACAAGCGACGATCTGACTTGCTGCAGAACTACTCCAAGCTGGCCCGGCCTCCTTGCATCAGCGTCAAGATTGCCCCAAAGGGCGCCACGGAAGAGCACAGGAGGGAGGCTCTGAAAAAGCTTGGCCTGCTGAAGGAGTAGCCCTGGACTTCGCCCTCAGTGCGGTCACACCCCTGCTGTCACGTCGCATGCCAGAACTTCTCTGTCTTTGCAGATGCGTTATTTAATGCAACAGGACAGACTGCATGGGTGGCAAAGTCTGGGAGCACTCGATAGATCATCTCCAAACCCTTCAAATGGAGAGCATGAGAAGGAGCATGTTTAGCCACTGCTTCCCTGCCCGTGGTCTTGGGAGGGCAGCCTGAACCAGCCCGGCCACTAGAATTGCTGAAGCTTCCTACCAAATCAAGTGACATGGCATATACATAACCGTGTATGTACTGTGTGTATATATTTGCAAACTATTTATATGTGACAGGAACAAGTGAGTGGATGGGAGTAATCTCCTACAGGTTTTTATTGCACTGACTGACTTGTGTCACTGTGGGAAACCCTGGGCTCTGGCTGCACGGAGAAGTGGTAGCTCACCACAGGCTATGTGCGGCTAAAAGTCCAGTATTGACTTTTGGGCTCCAATGGATGTGTGCAGCCAGCGAGGGATACACATGCACCTGCCAGGGCAGTCGGTGCACCCAGTATTTTAAGCAGGGTAAACTCAGGGTGGGAGAGGTAGGGTATGGGCGAGAAGGGAGCACACTTGATAGTGCTCAGACCTTGTTGAGGCATCAGAAGTGCTGGCCCGCACAAAGGGCAGGTTGGAGCAGCAGATGATGACTTGTTCACTCTAATAAACTTTCATCTTGTGTCTGGCATTTCTCGTACCCAGGTGCATGAACTCCTGCTGATGCCTTCTGTTAATTTTTACATTACATGCCTTTTACAAGAAGGAGGTGTTTTGAATGTCTACAATAAACTATTTTATATGGCCAGATAATGACTGCGCAGTCTGGATTTCCTAGCTATAAAGACAGCAATTTTTGGCAGTAATAACATCCTGGAAGGGTGGGATGAACAAGGTTGTTTTTTTTTTCCTTGAGTTTCCATCTGCATAGAGACAGAGGAATGGTCATGTCTGCATCAGTTGTGCAACCTGAGAACTTAGCACCAGCTTACTGTAGCATTTACTGTAATTTGGGGAAATCTCTCTCATTCCTGAACCGTCTCCACTTGCTTGCCTTGATGTGGTAGGGCACAGTCCCACTAAGACAGTAAGATTGTACTGGATGGCATAAAGGCTTCATTGAGCTACACTGGAATTATATGGCCGGGTATTGTAGACTAGCTACAGCTTCTTAATAACTGCCAGTTTTTTAACTAAAACATCCCAATCTTTGGTCTTGGCTCTGCACACAATACCCTCTGCTAATTTTTATAGCTTAGTGGGGGTAATTAATTAGCAACAAGCCTGAGCAATGCAGTCTTGCCCCAATAAAAACTCACAAGGATGCATGTATCCACGGGCAACATGGTCAACACATCAATTAGTCACAGGGCGAGCAGCATTTTGCAAGCAGTGGCCCGTACGTGGTGTACGTCCATGCACTGAAGAATCTGCCTGTTGGAGATGTAGTCTGGAGTGGTGTCACTTTGTGGAGCAAATACAGTTAGAGCTTCACTGAGCTGCATACAAGACCTCGCCCTAGCCCTCCATGTTTCTCAGATTTTTATTCCACCTCAGCCTATTCCAGATGTCTTCCCTCCCCAACATCTTCCATCATAAGTGAGACAAACCTTTTAGCAGTGGGGGGAGTATCAGCTGGTGACTTCAAGATGTGCCCTCTATTCTAACCAGCTCTAAATAGTATGCTAATAGGTAAACTAGATACCACTACTTACTGTACTTAGAGTAACACAGACTAGAAGTGGATTTTTATTTTTTTTTTATGGCTTGAAGAGGTTTCTAAAATCTGTTGACAGTAACGCACCTTCCGCCTTGTTTGGAGGCAATACGAAGAAATAAACTCTTAAAATGCCTGTTGCCAGTGAAAAGTCACCACCAGCTTCCTGTCTCTTGGATAAGTAACAGATCTTCACTGAGACCAGGGTGCTGTAGTGGCACGAAGCTGAATACCTAGAAGGTGGGGTAGCTTGTCCATGCACATGTCTGAAACCATTCTGATCCGTACTACAGAAATGCTCAGTTTTATGGTAACCTGCCCTGTTCTTTAAGTATACGTGGACAGGCCCTGTATTTTGTTATTTCCATAATAGTGGCTGTGCGTATCCAGTACAGATGTAACCCTCTCCACTGCCTTTCTACCCGCACTGGTTTTCCAGGGCTGAGCATAGCATAGAAGTTAATGTATCCCCACTTTCTCTTTAACACCCAAAAATTGCAGTTCTGTAGTCACATGGAGCAAGTCCAGGGAGCAATTTGTGTATGATCAAAGAAGGGGGCGGGGGTCTGTTTGCAGTTGCTTTTGCTATGTTATATAAATTGCTAGAGCACTTCAGCCTCGCGGCGGAGCATGGGTTTTAACAGATCCAAACATGCATCTCCGTCAGTACCTGGAGTCGGTTTAGAAGGGCAGGCCGCGTTCTTGGCATAGCTATACCCGATGTGGTCTGTGTCTAGCTCTACGCACGGTCATCCGAGGGGTACACACATGGTGCTAATCTTGCAAGTGTTTGTGCAGAGGGGTCTACTCGAAGTCCTGAGGTCTGCCTGCTGCACACATCGACTTGAGCCTCTGCAGCTTTGATGGGATCATGTGGAATCACAGTCAGCTCTTCCCAATGCCTCTGGCAACCTCTGGTGTTGATGGGGAAAACACTGTCTCCCAAGTAACTGATGACTAACCATTAAGGAATTCCTAAATGAGAACAGGTCTGAAAGGAGGCCTGGATCATTTGAGGAGAGCTTGGCTTGAGTCTGCCAAGATTGGTCTTCTTTAATTTCATATAATGCCGTACTCTGTGTGAGCTCTACAGCTATAGGCGCCAGCCCGGTGGTCTACAAATCACTCCACTTTCTTTGCAGCCTTTCCCTTGCATGGCAGCTGGCCCAGCATCTCTGAATCTACCTATAATGTCCTCTCTCCAGACTTGCTCTTTTGAGTAGGCTGCTGCTGCTGGCCTCCCTCTGTATTTCAGTAGGATTTTGCACCTTGAGTTCCCAATGTCACCTTGTTCTCCCTAGACAGACTATAGAAATAATTAATAGGGGTAATGGTGCTGTGCATCTTCACGGCATGCCTGACCGGCTCTGCCCATGCTACACCTTTTTAGTAGGAATTAAAAGAACAGGAACTTCGAACCCTATCATGCAAGTTCTCACAGTGGGTGTCCAACTTGGCACATTGCTTGGGATGGTGCACGCCCCATAGCCTGGCCTCTAATTGGGCCTTATCTGGCTCACACTGGGTGTCCACAATCCCCGAGGGCGTTGGGAAAATATCCCCCTGGGGCAAGTCCTGCTGTTGCTGCTACTTCTCCATTCTCCTGAGCAGAGTGGAAGTGGACCCCAAGTCATTAGCATTTCTCATCAGCCAAAGATTGGAGGGGTGCAGCCAGCCATGCAGGGAGGGGTCCTTTCTGCCGACTGGGCTTTTATCCTTGCAGGGAAATCTCATCTCAGTCCATGTTCACACTTTCAAGTCCAGAATGGTGTGTAAAGCAAGCATCCATATACACAAGCAGGCATCTAAACAGCTAAAATAGTGCAAGCTTTCAATACACACATTAAAAAATGAGTGCACACCCAAAATCTATCAAAGACAAAAATACCCAATTACCTGCGGGGACACATTTCTCACGAGACAGCCACTCTCTCCAATCTCTCAGTTCTGATCCTCAAAGGGAATTAACAAAACACCTTTCATAGACAAGCCTATGAACTTTACTTCATAAGTCTACTGGATATAAAAAAAAATCATGGATTAAATATAGACGTTGGATTTATGGCACATGATAACCTGCCTGTTATCTGATAACGCCAGGTTATCTGTCTGCATTTTACCAGCTACTTTCTATCACCAGTTCAACATTTCCCCTTTCCTCCCACCTTCCTATTGCATACCTGTTGTGTCTCATTCCCTCTGATCGTCACTGCCACACATTTGCGTTTTCACAGACCTGCATTTTGCATATTGGCTTCTCTTCCCCCGCGGAGAACACAACACCAGCAGACTCTCCCTATGCCTGAAGAAGGGTGCTTGTGCCTGAAAGCTTGCAAAGAACAATTTTTCCAAATATTTAGTTGGTCTAATAAAAAATATCACATTTACTCAAAGTCTGCCTATGCCCTTAGACCAACGTGGCTACAACCAACAACATTAAAGCTTTCAATACGACGTGAAATGAAAATGCTGCATCTTGGAAACGAAGGTTTTAAAGCTACACCTCTGTCAATGATTTTCAAGTATCTTTGGCCTGTTACTTAACATAGATAACGCAGCTGACCCTACAGGGAAATTAAGCAAAAACTTCTTTAAACGCAAAGGTAACGCAAACAGCACTTTAAGAAATGCTAAATCCAGAGCCTGGTTTCCACTTGGAACCTATAGTTTTGATTCAAGACCCATTTTTTGTTTAAAAAGAAGATTCTTGTGCGATCACCAAAGAGTCTGCAAAACTCACTGCAGTCCCTGCAGCTCACAACAGGTAAAAAGAAAAAAAAATAGGAAAGAAAAATAGTACTGCCCCCTAAAATGAATCCAAAGACATCAAAGAAAGACGCCTGATTACCAAATTGCTTATGGGCTAATATTTACCCATCCCCACATGCCACCAAGAGGAAATGAAGGTGAGTCATGCTGATTACAGCCAGGTCAGCTGGCATTAAATATCCACGGACGCATTAGTTGCAAGTGCAGGCGTTTGTGAGTTTTTCTAAAGGAGCTTTGCTAACTTGCATGTTTCACAACCTGATTTTGCTCCTGGCATCAGGCTGACCACGGGAATGCTGCAGGTTTGGAAAGTCCAGCTTTGTCGTCCTACGGTAACACGGACCTAGAGGTCTGCAAAGGGGCCATATCTTGTCCCAGTCTGGCCCATATACCTAGGCACAGGAGGCTCTGCAGAAAGGGGGCTGCTTCTTCCCCACAGGAGCCCGCTGCAGAAGGGATGCCTGGAAAGTCCTTAAAGGCCTTGGGTATCCAGATAGCCTGCGCAGGGAGCTGAACAGGGGCCACTCAGCCAGGAGCTCCTTGTGTGTCCTTGCCTATCTGGTGATCTTGGCTTGGCTCCATGTGCTTCTGGGTTGATCCCAAAAGAGGCGTTAGGAGGAGCTGCTCTATCCCATTCCCATCCTCCCCACCCCATGAGGCTGAGACACAACCAACTGTGCTGCTCTGTGGCCATCTGCTCTGGGTGACTCTGGGTGCAGAGAGGCGTGCTGGCCCTGGGAGGCACTCCCAGCTGTTGCAAGAACCACTGCTGGGGCAGCTTGGAATTTGTTGCACCCTCCCTGTGAGAGTGATTCACCCAGCAATGCTGCTTCCTACCAGGGCTGACCCCAGGCAGCACCAAGCATCATGGTGTCACGGCCCCAGCCCAGCCCGCATGCCCTTTGTGGGAATAGGAGGGCTGGAGGAAAATCAGCACGCCGGTTCCTAATGACTCTTGTCAACAGATCCAGCCTAAAAATTGCCGTTTGCAAGATAAACAGTAACATCTGCTCGCAGGCCAGGGCTAAAATCAAATGGTTAAAGGCCCAACAGCAGTGAGTCAGCATCACCTGGAAAGCTGAGACATGTAGAGTTAATTCAGAGGACAAGTGTGATGTTGGTGTGGAGCAGCTATTCTCCTGTTAGCTTTTTAAGCTCCCTTTCTAGTTGCTGGGCACTGGATCCAAAGCTGGCATGCATGGGTATAGCTCTGGGAAGTGAGACCTCTCTCATGGAGCTTAACTGATCCCTAACCCCAGCTCATGGCAAATGTGATGCCATAATATCCCCTGAGTTTGATTAGACAACCTGACCTCTTGCATCTAAGATATTTCCTTTATCAGAGAAAGCGTTGGGAGACTGGTGCCTCTCGAGTCCGGGAGGGGCACCCACAGGCACCTGGTGGTGGCCCTGTCTGTGGGGGCACAT